TGCACTGCTGGATTGCTTACATTGAGATCATATATATGGCGTTTTTCTTTCGTCAAATTATTTTCTTGGGATACATTTCTAGGAGTAATACCACCAGTGCAGAGGTATTAACAGTTTTATGTCACTTATAATGTCTATTATTTCCCAAAAGGATTTGCCAGTGTATGTCACTAGTAATGTTTGAATATGCCGTATTTCCACAGTTTTACCAATATCAGATAGAAGCTTCTTTAACATTGTTTTTCTGTTTAGTAGATGAAGGTGTTTTGAAGTTCTTTGACTTAGCTATTACTTGAGCATCCTTCCTAATATTTTATGCTGCATATCTACTCTGTCCCATTAGCTGTGGAGACTTTTGAGGCTGCTCTTTTGTTTGAATGCACTCTTTTTAGGTGGAAGATATTGAGCATTTTCAGTCAATTTTAGTGCAGTTAGCTTTTGTTGTATTGAAACGTTTATTTTTCATTCAGTGGAAATTTCAATTTTTGTGTAGTTGAATCTGTCAATATTTTCCTTTGTCATTTCTTTTTGAAAGAAACCTTTTAAAACATTAAAATTGCTGATATTTTAAATACCAGGAAGGCAGTGTGATGTGACTGTAGACTGGCTGGTGACCTTATGGAGAGCAGGCTGAAAAGGCAAGTTTAAAAGTGCTCAGGAGTGGACTGTGAGGCAGAAATGTCACCACCGACCCCTCACTGGCAGTCACACACTGCGTGCGGCTTTCCTGAGATCACTGGGCCACCTCTCCTTTGTCCTGCCGTGTGATTCTCCTTGGCTTCGTTGTGGTTAATAGGGCAGCTCTTCCTTGGAGCCGATACCATATACAAGGGGTTGACTCGAGGTAGAAGTGGAATTTCTATCCAGACTATCTCACGATTTCCTTAAGACTCACTGCATTATTACTTATTTTGAGTACTGACTGAATTAGCAGGAATCACCATGAGATCGACATCTTGCTGAACTCTTCAGGAGTCTGTGGATCCCTGGGAAGCATTTCCTTTTGTACCTATAAGGCGCAGATATGCAGATGCAGAACAGGTGGAAAGACCAGTTTCCGTGCTAACTGCTTAGTGTTTCTCGCCAGTTCCGTTCTGAAACACAATCCACTGTCTGCAGCCAGGGCCCTGCTGCTCACCGCCTGTACCAGAGGAACAGCATGCGGACATGGAAGGCACACTGAGGAGACAGACTTTGGGGGCTGGGGAAGTAGCTCGGTGGTAGAGCACATGTGAGTTCCTGGGTCGCGTTCCCCTCACCACCAAAAGAGAAAGCGAGCAACAGAGAAACTTTTATTGTCTTCTTGGGCTATGTTCCTGTTTCAGATCTGCACATTTTACTTGCTAAAGTATTTAACAGTATTCTACATTTTCTTTCAGTCTTCACAGAAAAGTACTGTACTGCTAACCACGTGGACAAGCTCCCTGGCCCAAGAGACTGGGTACAGATTCTCCAGGATCAAATTAAGCTGGCCAGAAGAAGGTTAAAAAGAGGCTCAGGTATGAGTAAGTTGTAAGAAGGTAATTGCAGAAGTATTCTATTGAATTCTCAACCTTTGTAGAGCATAGTACTTCCCTCTGGAGTATTGCAGTGTCCTTTCTCTGTTGAAGGAGATGCTCTACGTACTGTAATGTTCTCTGGTTGGCTATCTTAAAGCTGTATTCAAGTGAATTTTGGAAGTCACCTTACGATTAAATAGTAAAAATTGTAGCAGGCCATTTGCTTTCAGTAGTACCATGGAAAAAGATTGCAAATCTCATGTGTGGTCAGGTGTGTCTCAGGTATAAAACCAGGACTTTCCTCTGTGGCTTGCTTCTGTTCACTTGTTGATTTTTGTTTGTATCTGAATGAATTTATAAAAATTGGAATTGCTTAAGGTAAAAAAAAGATAGCAAAAATCATTGTACCAGAAATGCCATATGAAGTAGGAAGGAATTTTGTGTGTGTGTGTGTTTAAAAATCCAGGCTTGATGATTTGGGGATTATTCTTCCAAAAAAGTGAGCATCAGTTGGGTTGTTGTTATTTAGATTTGGTCATTCGAAGCTGCAGCCTCCTCGTGTGATTGGAGGCCACTTTACCCTTTGAGAACGATTTTCTCCTGTGCTGCAAGAATTGTTGTCTCCGGGAGGCCACAAGATCTGTAGGCATTATTTCTAAATTCCATGCAAATCAGTATGTCTATTATGAAAAACAGTATGGAGGCTTCTCAAAAAATTAAAAATAGAATTGCCAAACTTACAACTAGGTATATATCTAATAACAGCAGAATCAGTGTGTTGAAGAGATACCTGTGTTCCTGTGTTTGCTGAGGCATTTTCCCATGGCTAAGATAAGGAATCAACATCAGTGCCTCCCAGCAGACAAATGGGTAAAGAAAATGTGGGTAAACTTGGAGAATGGCATGCTAAGTAAAGTAAGGCAGGCACAGAAAGACAAGGGCCACCCACTGTTACTGTGCAGAACTCACAGGGCAGAGAGTGGTCCCCAGGGCTGAGTCCCATTGGGAAGACGTTGGCCGAAGAGTACAAAGCTTCCAGTTCGGAGGGATTCGCTCCTTCTGTGACATGGTGTCTGACAGTCTTCATTGTTAGTAATGCTCTTATCCTTGAAAATTAAGGATTGGTTTTGTTTTCACTGCAAAGTACGTGAGGTAGTAGTGAGTTAGCTAGCTCAGTTTAGCCATTCCACAATGTATACATATTGCAAAGCATCATATTGTACATCACAAATACTGATACTGTAAAAATAACAACATAAATATACTAATAAACCTGAGTTTTGGGGGACATAGTCCAACCATGGCATTCTCCAGTGGATCCTTTTCACATGAGGCCGCCCCTGTCATCCTTGCCGGCTCCCCAGGCTGGTCTCCTGTCTCAGGCCTCAGGCTCCACCAGCCTTCTCCTTGCTCCCAAGATGGGCTGGTCTCACAGGTGCATGCATCCCCTCTGCTTGGGAGATGCTCCACCTCTCATAAAGCTTCCCTTGTCTTGGAGCCTTCATGGGAGGACCCAGCACTTGGGTCTTCTGCCACCCAAAGGGCTATACTCCTGCTTCCGGTTTGAGTCCAAGTGACACATGGTGTACGAGACAGGGCAGACTCTCAAGGAATTTTGTTGTACGAGTGAGTGAAACCATCAGTAATTCCAGAAAGGACAGCAGTCCGCAACAAAAAGACCTTGTTTGCCTCGTCAGTCTCCTGCAGTCTGTCCTCAGGACTCATGGTGACAGCTTGTGGCCATCCCAGAGCCCCCTCACTTCCTCCCGCTCTTTCTCTCACTGCCTTCTCTGCCCTCTCACCTTAGTGCTGCTACACTTTCCTCCTGGTTTCTTCTCCCATAATCCCCCAGAGGTTCGGAGCTTCCCGTCATGGCGGTCTGACCTCACTCAGAGGAAATGAATTAGAATCTGGGAAGAGTAATGTCCTCCTATGGAAAGGTCCCCTGCTTCTGCCTTGTGCGTCACAAAAGACCCCTTTCATTGCTTTAGCCTCCCCTGCCACCTCTGCTTGGAAGAGAAAGAAGCTCTTTTACATTCGAAGGCGAGGTAGTTCGCCCACTAGGTTTCCCCAGTGCGTTGGTATTCCCTGAGTAAGTACTGATGTCCCGTCCTGTTGGTGTCACGTTCTTGGTTTTACACCAAGTCAGATTTCTGCTTCCAGCCTGAGTGATGTCTGTGCAGGTGTGAAGCTGGCCTGGGTGGCCTCAGCACTGTGCTTGGCTATTTCAGTATGTAAGAACTTCTATTTTCATGGATTAACCCAGAGAATGGAGAGCTACCTCTTCAACCCCTTTTAATGTTTATTTTTAGACAAGGTCTTGCTAAGTTACCCAGGCTGGCCTCAAACTTGTATTTGTTTTTGTTTTTTTTTTGTTTGTTTGTTTGTTTTTTCCTCCGGTACCGGGAACCGAACTCACGACCTTGCGCTTGCCAGGCAGGCGCTTTTGCCGCTGAGCTAAATCCCCAGCCCCGCCTCAAATTTGTAATCCTGCTCCCTCAGGCTCTTGAGCAGCTGAGACTGCAGGTGTGAACCACCATAATCCTGAAGGTTTGTCTTAAAATTTGAAGTGTTCAGTCCATTGGGGACTTCTAACCATTCTCCTCAGCAAGAGCCACATGCTGCCAAGTACAAAGCTGTCCTTGTCCTTCCTCAGGGTGTCTCTGTAGCCCTTCAAATGCCTGGGTTCTACAGCTCTTTTCCCTCAGGCTCCCTGCAGGCTTCAGGTGTTTCTCACATTTCCCTGGGTGATTTGCAGGCGGACACCGTTGACTCAAAATTCAGAGACACTAAATCTAATATTCAGGTTTGAGAGAAGTCTTAAAATGTGTCATAATGAGGAAAACCTAAATTTAATATTTTCCCAAAGAAAAAGGAAAGAACTAACATACCGAAGAACCAGCATTTGGTTCTAACTTTTCTGGAAAGACTAATAAACAGCGGCATCATCGTAGTGCCACCGACTTTGAGCTGGCCTGAGGCAGTCTTGGTGCACATGGCTGCTCCCCTCCTACCGTACAGGGGCTGGTTGGAACTGATGGGCTGTTCTTGTTTAGATCTGAAGTGTCCCCCTGAAGTCTCAGCTGTTCTGAGGTGGGACTTTGGGAAGGCAATTGAATCATGAAGGTTCTAACCTAATGGGTGGATTGGTCCATTGGTGAGATCATCATTTGTTGGTATTAGTGGAAATTTAGGAGGTGGGACCAGTTGCAGAGAGTGTACCATGGGAGCTTGACTTGAAGCTGCACCCTGTACCGGCCCCTTCCTCTCTGGTTTTCTCCTTCTTTCTGCTTCCTGGCTGCCGTAAGGTGAGCAGCTGTCTTGCACCAGGCCCTCCCGCTGTGATGTTCCCACCTCACCACAAGCCTAGACGCAACAGGGCCAAGTGACCGTGGACTAAACCCTCTGAGACCACGAGCCAAAATAAGATGTTCCTCCTTCAGATTGTCTCAGGTATTTTGTCATAGTGACAGACAGCGGACTGATACGTGGGGAAATGTGAGAGACACTTGAAGCTTGCGGGGAACCTGAGGGTGAGGAACTGTAAAAGCCCGACAGTTGATATCACTGAAGTGCTGCAGAGACCACCTGAAGAGGGAAGGAGAGGGGTTGGTGCTGCCTCAGAGGCACATGCCTCCCGCTGAGGAGAGTGATTAAAAGTCCCCAGTGGGCCTGACCACTTCAAGTATTAAGAGACACCTTCGAGCTGGGCGTGCTTGTGCACAGCTGTAATCCCGCCCACTGAGGAAACCGAAACAGAAGGTGCAGGTCTGAGGCCAGCCTGGGCAACTTAGCAAGATCCTCTCTTGAAAAGGGTTGGAGGTACAGCTCAGCGCTTTCTGCATTCAATCTCCAGTACTGGGACGTAGGGGCTTTGAATGTAGAAGTCCTAAGAAGCAGGGAGATGTCCAGGAGGGCTGTTCGCAGGGACAGAAACAGCCTTGCTGGACCCCAGGACGAAATAGGAGATTTAGTTTTTGCTTTCTTCACCGTGCTGCACAGGCCGCACTGTAAGCGGAACTTCCTTCCCTCTGTTACCAGATGCTGAGACCAGTGACTGATCCTCGGCTCTCCCCTCCCTGCCTTCCACAGCAGGCACACTGCACACGGTCGGGGCTGCACCTCCACATTCCCCTTCTCCCTTCTCACACACTGGCCTATGAGCATAGTTCTTAACCGCCATAGCATTTGTGTTCGTAATACGTCTCAGATGCATGTGTTTCCCCTGCTTTGTCCTGACTCTCCAGACAAGACCAACCCATAGCCTGCCCTTCCTCAGAGCCCTTCCGAAGCGCAAGCGCTTATCTGCTCTTGCTCTGTGGTCATCAGAATGTTTGCCCTGGGCCATTTCAACTTTTGGTTGCTGGGTTTAGGTGCTCTACCTCCATGTGTGCGGTGTGTTCCAAGCCAGTGCTGTTAGCCACAGAGAAGTGGAAGGTGGCTATAAGACAGAGCCACGCTGACGCACAGACCAGAATGATTGCACATCAGACGTGACCTGCCAAACGGAGCTTGTCTCCTAGCATGCAAAACACTGTTCCGCTGCAGCTCGTGCACAAATCAAGCTAGAGTCACTTGCATTTAATCAAGCTAGAGCCACTTGCATTTAATCAAGCTAGAGCCACTTGCATTTACCACAGAGGATCAAGTGCCGATCAATAATGTTACCTGTTCTCATGCTTTTTGCCCTGATTATTTTCTGTCTAAGTAATCATACAAACAGTGTCTCATATCTGTTTTACAGTTGCAACCTTACTTACAATATTTGGTTCAATTCCTGGAATAAGGTACAGACTCTGACTGGGCAAGCTAATCAAGTAACCACTTGGGGAAGCCGGCGCTGCCTCTAGAAAAAAGCAGCACCCCCCACCTAGCTGAAGGCCATTATGCAAATCCAAATAGAAATTCACTTGAGGCTCTCATTACATGTAGTAATTTTTTTCTATAACTGGGATGATTCCTTTCCTGGTGTGGATTTTTATCATTTTCATTAGGTTACTTCCTCGGAGCTGAAATCACAATTTATTATTTGTGTTAGATCCAAGAGTAAAGCTGTCACTGCTATTAAATTTTTATTGGACTTGCTCAATCTTTTCCGGATTTTATAACTTGATTGTCACAAGGGAAGAAAGATTGTGAACTTGTTGCAGACAGATGTTATAATAAAGTATAACAGTGCTGTCCTTTACCTATGCAGCTGTCGTCAGCTAATTTACATGTAATAACATATATATAATTTTCATAGTACCTGTTCTGTTCTGATGAAAGCATATAACTGCACAGGGCTATTTATAAAAATAAGGACAGCTGAATTACAATGGGAAGATCAACATATACTCCAAACATATTTTTGCTGTAACTAACCAAAAGTCAATTATGCATGTAAAGTTACTAAAGTGAACTAAAACTTGAAGACTTAAAAAATTTACTCCTAATAATGCATGTGATGTGTTTGAAGTATTAATAGCAAAGGTATTGAAGAGCCCAGACTTGAACCCGATTCCATCTTGGCCCTGTCACTTACTAGCTCCTGTTACATGGAGTAGGTTTCTTACGCCTCCTGTCTCACTTCCCTCGTATGTGAAAATGACTAGCAACGGCCCTACCTCGTGGAGTCCTCTAGGGCTTAAATGGCATGCTTCGTGTCTGTAAAAGCTAAGGACTCAACAAATGGTGGTGGCTATCACTGCTGTTATTATTTATTGTTACTGTTATTAAAGACTTTAAATCCCAGGTGGTGAGAGAACTACTGTGTAGATCACCTCCCTGTTCAAAATCACTCAAACCAGGGGCTGGGGATTTAGCTCAGCGGCACTGCGCCTGCCTGGCAAGTGCGAGGTTGTGAGTTTGATTCCCGGTACTGGGAAAAAAACCAAAAAATAAAAAAAAGTTCAAAATCACTCAAACCAATTAGAAGAGAGTAATGTCTTCTAAATATAAAAATGGCATATGTTCATTGTTTTTCATATATAAAATAACTTAAAACCCAAAGAGCAAAAACTAGAATTCCTAAAGCCTCTTCTCCAGAAAGGATTTCTGTACATCCCCCGGCCGAAAGCCTGTGTACAAAATTGACTCCGCCATGTATGTTCTTGCTCAGCTTGCATATTTTTGTTTTATTAAATGTTCATCCACAGCGTCATGTTCGGGGGCTTCTACTCTACTCCAGCCACAGTTGGGCATGACTGTCCTACCCCCCCGGGTGTTTTCTCCCCGGTGAGTCCAGTGGCACAGCAGACAATGGGCTTTTCAGATGAGCGCATCCAGGACGTGAGAGGGTGAAGTGGAGGTGGAAATCTTGGGTCATTTCTGGCTGTGTCTAAACACTATGTTTACCGCAAGAACAAGAGGAAAGAGAACACGTGTGAGCTTTGCTTTCCACCAACGCAGTGCCACAGTGTGACGCAAGAAAAGGCCCACTTTCCGTGGCATTCATGCGCGCGGTTAGCGGCACCTTGGGGGATCCCCTGACGCTGGAGCCTAGAGGGCACCACCAAAAGCCCTGCAGCACCAGAGTACTCCAGCAGGCCCAAGGACATGTTCTCCTCGCATGTTGGAGGAGACCAGTGTGCCCTTCAGGGGACAAACGGCCCCTTTGCATTCGGTGGAGTTTTGTGACTGAAGGTTCTGGTTTTGCAAAACTTCTAAGAAGATTGAATCACCTATCAGCGAGGTTTGCATTTTACATCACAGAAGAGAAGAGCTTTTGAAGAAATATGCAGCTCCTCTTCATGATTTTCCTCCTGACTGAATAGGTGCCCCCATTAGACAGGCAGCTCGAGGAGCTGAGTTTTGAGGCAGCTCCAAAGAGAGGTTTCTTCTCAGATTTTCCAGCGTCTCCCCACTGGGAGTGGCTCCGCAGGTGACGATTACAGTTCTACAACAGGAATTCGCTGTCTTGAGCGCGTTTAACGACACACTTAAACTGTCTACCCAGGTGCCCGTTGGACGCTTAAACACATGTAAATAAGGGAACTGAAATAGGGTTTGTAAGATTTAAAAAGTTTTTAGTACAGGAAAGTTTATCTATATCATTATGATCATAAAAACATTTATGTCAATAATGGCGCTAAAATCTATAATGTGAATCAGCTGAATCTGAAAAGGGAAGAGAAAGGTGCAAACAGTTATGTACACTGGAGATATTTTAATTGCACTGCTAGATTCAGTAAAATGAATGTGCTCCCTGAGACTAATGAGATTTGTGTTTTATGTTTGTAACCAGCAGAGATAGCTGACGGTGATGAAAGACTGGACAGCATTTCCCTGCCACCAACAGGTAAAACGCATTCACATTCTCATCACCTGCTGGCAAATGAAGGGCTGGAAAATGTCTGCATTGGGAACGCTTTAACATTAGAGATGCAGGCCCCCGGGCAGCCGCGTCGGGAACAGGCCCCGCCGACCGGGCAGAGCTTCCCAGGACTCAGGCTTCAGAGACGTTTCCCATCGAACACAGAGTATGAACAGCTACACTTTCCTCACGCTGTGTCATGCTCATAAAAAGCTCATAAATGTAAATCCTGAGAACGTAGTATCACAACATTTTGCCTCTCCAGGGTTTAGGCATTAAACAGTTTTTTTTAGCATGAGACGAAGTGAGATTTTTTTCACTTTAGAACAGGGATCGTTGATTTTATGTGACCAAATTCATGCCTCTTCTGTCTTCTACCCCTTGCAAAAGGCCTGGGAGAGGCGGTCGACCCCGCCCCCCTCACGCCACAGGCGCCCTGTGGCTGCTGAAGGTCATTATTTACATAAATTTTAGCATTGTTATTTATGTAAATTTTGTGATGGAATAAGCCGGCCCGGCCAGCGTGGCTGACAGTCCTGGTCTTAACCAGATCCGCTCAGCGCAGTCTTGTGCTCTGAGCTGGCTGCGCACCACGCGTTCCTGACAGCACCCTCTCAAGCAGACCCCTGTCCCTGCCTCCTGCCTGCGTTACCAGTTCATACCTGAGAGCCGGGCAGACGGGGGTCTGATCAGTCAGATCGGCCAGGTGTGTGTCAGTCTGTTCCCTTCTTGGGCTCAAGATTCTTTATCGACTGCCTTCGAAGGATACCTGAAGACTCTGTCCACAGAACTCAGGCACTCCCCTCCAAAAAACACCTCTGCCTGAAAAAGCTGACCTCAGAGTTTTTTCCTGTAGATTTAGGGTGATAAGATTTTAATTAAATTTGGCAGTAGTAGTGGAGTATCTGGTATGGGCGAGGACTCTTAGCAGAGTTCCTGGCAGTTATGAGCTCACTGACAGCACAGGTCCCAAGGTGGGCTTCAGGCAGAGTCCATGGGTGTCAGGTGGGCGCACATTAGTAAGCTTTAGAGCAGCAAGGAAGCCCAGTCATGTGGTGACACATTGCTTTCTCTGTAGCGAGGAACTATGCAACAGAGCGAGAGACAAATAAATGAAATAAGCCACATGGTGCAAAAAGGATCTGTGTATGTCAGGTTCTTGCCGTACACAGTCATGGCGTAAGAGGGGTTTCTTGTTGTGTTTTCACATTTGTGAATTAAATGAAGTGTGCGATCTCTATTGTTCCTTCTCAATCTGTCATTCTGGATGTTGGGCCTGTTCTCATCACCCCTGCCTGATCCCTGTGGGTGCAGGAGACACTAGCCATAGCCACAGAGCTGTGTTTCCAGAGGCCCTGGGAGGAGCGGGTGCTTCTCTAGCTGTGCCTCCAAGGTGCCCGTCCTCAGGTCCCCGGGGACCGACACCACCGGTCCTCTCTGTCGTGTGAGTCCGTGGGCTTTTGTGTTATTGTTTGAAAACCATGCCCCTTGCAATAATTCCTTTGCTTTTAACTGTCTGCATTTGACTCTGCCTCCAGAGATGTTTCAGACGAGAAAACTGAGCACAGGGGATGCTAGAACAGCCTCGTGGAACTGACCAAACTGCCCAGGAATCTGAGAATAAGAAGGAACTTGAGAGATCGTCAAATCCAATCCCTTCATTTTATCCAGTCCTTTTATTTTACAGGAAAAAAAGCCTGAGGCCCTGACACATTAAACGACTTTGCCAAGGTCTCAGCTGGTTGCCAGCCTGGCCAGAGCCCAGGCCCCTGGACTCCCAGCCTTCGCGCTGTTGAGCTTTCTCACACCTAAGCCAAAGCCAGCCTCCCTCTGCATGTTTCTTAAAGACGCTCGGAGATGACGTGCTGATCGCGGTTCCCTGTCTCAGTGTCCCCGTCATCGCAGTTCCTAGGAGGTTCATCGTCAGTCTACCCAAAGCCTCTGCAGTTTAAGCTCTTTGACTCAAACCCTGTCTCCGATTTTGTCCAGAACTGTGGGGTTATAATCAGAAACGCGGTAGAACACACCTTCAGGTCTTTTCACTAGACTACTGGTAGATATTTAATAAAAATTACTACACAGCATGATAGTGAAACTGTTTCTCATTTTAGAAAAGGGAGAAAGAAGTCACACGTTGGTGCTCCAATTTGGCGGTAACGAAGTGGACTCATCCTCACGGTCCAGCATGCCCCTTGGTTGCCCCAGTAAATCCCCAGGCTGGTTAGCTCTGAACGCAGTGCTCCCACCGGTCCTCCCGTCCCTTGTGCCCTGGCGCGGCTGACTGCACCGGGAGCGTCCATGCCCTTCCTGCACGTGCAGCCTTGGCTTGGCCTTGAGCCTTCGCACTGCCAGGAGCTGCAGGGGCCGTCAGCATTCTGGTGCAAACTTCCATTGTCTTGGTCTGAGCCAGCCACATCTGTCCCCCGTAAAGGTTTAGCGGTACCCTTATTACCAGTTGCAGGTCTTTTTTCTTCTTCCAGTTTTGCATGTGTTGGGGAGAGGCAGGGAAGAGGTAGAAACTGTTAGCTGTTGCTGTGAGTCAGAAGAGGGTTAGAGTCAGTGGTCAGACGATATTTGTGCTGACCAGCTGCATTTAAGCGCCTTTCTGTTCATCTGCTTTTAACACAGCTGGACTCAGATTTCATGGTGGAGAAATGTATTTTTTAAAAATTTATTCCCTTTGGCCCTGTTGGTTGAGTCATTTGCACAGCTGCTGGGAGTCAGCCCCTTGTTGGGCTCAGGTGCACGCTTGCCTGCCCTGGCGGAGTGGGAGAGGGAGGAGCCTTTTCTCGCAGGCCTCAGCGCAGAGGTGGAGAGTGAGGCCCGGGAGAAAACTCCAAGGGTGTGGGAACCATGGGCAGCAAACGAGGAGCCTAGAGGAAGTAGCATCCAAACAGTGCTCTCTGAGCATGTAAAGTGGGGATTCCGGATTTGAAAGAGTGGGGTGATGTTCTTTCGGGTTTAGCAATTTGCGTCACAAACTGGGATTCTTTTATGTATTTTTCTTTTTTAAAAAATGTAATGAAGAAACAACCATTGTTGGGTGTTTTTCCCAGACTTTTCATTATATTTTGTTTATTGAGGTAATGGAGAGCCTGTATGTACAATTTTGTTTCCTGAACTTTGGGGATTTCTGTGTAAGAAGCACTTTTCCTTTTAATTACAAATCTTTGCACACATTATTAGCTGCGTGATACTCTGTGCTGCAGGTTAATTATTTTCTATTTAGCCCTTTTCTCTCACTGATTCACACAGGCACACTCAGCAGTGACACACGTTCACGGGCTTTCCTGTGAGGTACGATCACTATATAATCCTAGTTCCTAAAATTGCTCATTTAGTACAATCTACCCCTTAGCTAAAAACTTGGCAACTTAACTCTGCAAGACCGGCGCTTCCCAGGGAGCCCCCCTTGTGCAGGCACTTCCTCCAGCCTCCTGGGGGCAGCACCATTCCCCCGGGGAGCCTCCCCTCTCCTTGTCCATCTCGGTTGTCTGTTGTAGGTCTGGCTTCTCGGCCTTCTGGCTAGGATCAAGTGTAGTATCTGTTGCCTGGACTTTCATTGTAGTGGCCTTTGTCATTAGCCTGTGTGACTCTCTCCTCGAACTTCTTCAAAGGTCCAGGTGGCATTCCAGCTTCAAGCAAAGTATGGGTGTCTGTGACGTTTGCCAGTCCCGTTAGAATAGCTTCATATGCTTTCTCCGTTATGTGATAATCAAGCCTCCAATTTAGTATAAGGTTTTTAAAAATCATTTTTAAGGTTGCTTCATGACCCTTTAAAAGTTCAGTATGTGACCCAGTTAGCTGATTGTCCAACACAAAGAAGCCGTTCTCTCCCTCTTTCTATTCCTGTGTAACCTCAATGTGAATGCAGAGTTTTGAACCATATTTATTTTAATGTAAATTTCTTAGCCGCATATAAAGAAGTATGGCCCTTTCCAGGGTTGAGGGTATCTGAGAAGGCCACAATTAATTAGACCTTCCTCAGTGCAGAAGGAGAAAAAGTTGTTGAAGGAGCCAGGGCAGTTCTGACCTGTTGGACAAAATCATTTATAACGTCAGTGCCCCCAGAGGTAGCCATCTAACGAAGCAAGCGGTGCAAACGATGTGAGAATTTATAGGAAAGAAAAACCTTTCGCATAAGTTGCATTGGCCTGGTGACAGAGGAACTGATTAAAAGGTGAAAGACTTAACGTAAGTTACCTGCTCCGTAGCTAACAAGACAGCCCGTGTTCCCTGAGCAGTCCGGTTTGACCTGCATGGTGCCCCGCCACGGTGTGCATGCCTCGTGCTCCAGCTCCCTGGTGCACTTGCCCCCCACTCTCCTTAACCCGCAGGAGGAAGGCTGGGCTGATTTCAGACATATCTTGCCATGTGGGTGTTTGTTTTGCATCAATATTTACCTCCAGATGCCTTTCTTTCTCTCACAACGTAGTGCCACTTTGAAATATTGCATCATTGCCTCAGTTACTGTATAAGGTGAGTTGCCCTGAATGCTTGTTACTTTACCTAAAGGCCAGACATTGGCGCAGAAGACATTTGACCATAGGTCCCCCAAACCCTGGGGCTCAGAACTGCCATGCGGACAGTGTAACCCCTCTCCCTGGCACGCACTTCTTCAGCCTGTTAGAGCTGGCAGTCCCTGCCAAGGCCCTGCAGGAGGCACCGAGAAGGAAGGGTAAGAGCTGCCCGCAGTCGGGTGACCCTTAAGTGCCCGCTGGGCGTGTGCTGACTCTCCTGCCCAAAGGAGGGGCTCCCAGGCATAGGTCAGTGACCTACAAAGACCAGCTAATGACCTGGAGGTGCATGACATCCCCATACCGTGACAGACACCTGGTCTGCCTGTCGCCTGTGGAGTCAGTCTCACCGCCAGACAGTCACAGCACGTGTACATTTCTTTCATTTCTTTTTAAAGTTGCAAGGAAGGCTCAGAGAAATTATTTCCCTCACACCCTTCGGTTAGCCTCTCCCATTTCCAGCTGGTAAGTATCCTTTTCCTGAAACCACTCACCTTTTACCTAGTGGTCTGATGAACTGCTATGTGCAAATCAGGGCTTTTGTTTTTCTGCAGCATATGCTCAAAAATTTGTCTTCTGCCTTCCCAAATGAAATGTTCCTCCAGGGAATAGGGAAGATTAATTAGTGACCTTTCACTGTATTAAGCTATGATGAATATGTTGCTACCAACAGTAGAAACATTTACTTACAGCTGCAGGTCTCTTACCTATGCACCATGAACCTTCAAAAACACTTCCTTCCGAGACTGGGGGACAGCTCGGAGTTTTCAATACCTGAGGAGGGGTAGGGGCTGGTCAACTCACAGATGTGTGCCATGGATTCCCAAATTGGAAACGCGTATTACAACTGCAACCATAAAATCATATTTTGTAAATTCAAATTACATTTGTGTTAACGTACTGTGACTACTGTTCAGAAATCCTTTTTATAGGCTTTCTTAGCAAAAATAAAATTCCATATCTACGGATAGCATCTCAGTCTTCTGTATATATGCTTTATTAATATGTAAATATCTAGATTTTTAAAAATTACTATGTTCTTTAAAAAAGAATTCAGCGCAAGGTTAGTTGTGAACATGGTGTATAAGGTTGTGTGGTGATATCAGCTCCCAAGATGCTCTTTATGTCCGTTCTGGAAGAACACAATAAATTACTTTAATTGAACATGCGCGTCTTGCTTGTACCCCGGTGTTCCTGTGTTTATGGAGTCAGTGCTGTTCATTAATTAAGAGGTATTTATTAATGCCCTCATGATCTTTCTCGGAGTTATTCCTCCTTATGCAGTTTATTTTAAAATATAAAACAAACTAGATTGCTGCCAGAACGAGAGTCTTCCGTCACCACAGAGACCCTGGCTCCGTCTGGCAGTCAGATCAATGGCTGCGGCAGGTCCCATGGAGACACTTGGGCATTAAGTACTGAGATGCTCGAAGCCTAATTTTAAATGAATTAGGTAGCTTTAGAATCTTCACTTAAAAGGCTAAGCCCTGCTTCTATGGAAACAACACAGCAGAAGGACAAATCAATCTTCTCTGATGCAAAGTGGCTGCTAACATGTAATTTCTTTGTTCTCGAACACAGGAGGGCGCTGCTCCTCCCTGGCCACCTGCCACTCCTGCCTCCCTGTCCTGAACACGCCGCAGCACCTGGGAGGGAAGCTGGCTGCTTTAGGGCTTCATTTCGGAGGCTGCCGAGCTGGCTGCTGTGAGGTGTGGTTGGCGTGATGTGATGGGCAGTAGCTGCTGCATAAGAAAGCAGGGGGGAGGGGGCGGGGACAGGACTGCCAGGCAAAGTTGTTTGCAAAGAAACAAAATCTGTGGTACAGCCGTGTCGTTATTTCCCTAAAGCTGGCAGCCTGGCCTTCCCCTCCTGCTGCATGCGTCCAGCTTTGTGGACCCCTTCTATGGAATTGCTTGTAATGGGTCCACGTCATGTTTTATGGCCCAAGCCCCTGGGGCGCCCCTACTGCCCTGTGCTGGTAAGGATGGGTGCTTTATAGGTTGCCTTTCTAGCCCAGGGCAGGCGAATGGACCTAGGTTCACCACACAAGACGCCACTGGAAGGGGAAGACCCACACCTGCCTTACCAGGTGACGGGGAACACAACAGGCTCATTGCCCACCTGCCCCTGAGTTCAGCTTTACATCTGCGGAGCACCAGTGGGGACACACCCTTTGATGGCTGAGGACGATCTAGGTTGGGGTACAAGGGAAAGGGGTGAGGACTGAGCCAGAGGAAGCCTCTCTACCGACTGCACCAGACCTTGGTCCATCCCCAAAGGTGAGGGTGGTGTGGACAGCTGCTGCGGTGTTTTAAGTGAGAGGGCTTTCCAGTTCCCATCTTGATCCCTCTGGCAGAAGCATGGGACACTGTGCTACTGGAATAAGTAGGGGTAGAAAGAGCAGGAGCGCAAAAACCTGCAAATCCAGGTGCAAGATGAGAATCAGCGAGACCCAGTGATCAGCTTGGCGGGTGGGGGAGAAAAGTGTCCAAGCCACACCCCAGTTTCTGCGGGGAGGGGCTTGTCCTTTGCACGTACTAAGGTAAGAGCAGAGGGGAGGGGCATTAGAAGGAAGACAGGTGAACTCAGATGAGGAGGAGGAGGAGGAGAAGGACCGCTCAGGTTCAGATGTTACTGTATGCATTCACCCATGAGCGTTCAGGGCGTGCCCATCCTGTCCCAGGGGTTGGGACCACAGCAGTGAGGAAAAAAATGTGCCCCTGCTCTGTCTGAGCCAGGCAGGATGTGTGTCATCAGACAAGACAGAGGGCAGAGTCTGGTGGGGACACCAGCACTCAAGGCCTGTTTATCTCTGTGAACATTACCACGGAGGGAATCTCAACTTGGAAGCTTTGTCTTCACTAAAGCAACTAAGATTTGAAGCATCGTTTGTCCCCCATAACTCAGCTCACAACTGATATCATCAAGGAGGGATTCGTGACCATCCGCTTGCCTGTGGGCGCCAGACCCCTTTACGTCTTGGGCTTTCACTTCTGTCCGGTCACTTGCTGCCCTCTGAAGTTATATCCTGCTTATTTATATGTTCATCATTCTCCATTTTTCCTCTGGGATCTAAACCTCATGATCTCAGGGATCTTATCCGTGAGGCCATTAAGATTTCAGGCCCTGGTGGGAATGTTTTCAGGGTACTCCTCCTCATTAGAGTGGACTGGCTAAGGAGTTTGCCTGAGGTCTGTATTAACGTGCAGCCTAGTTGTCCCTTCTGTAGGGAATGGGGTCTCTGCAGGGAATGGGGTCTCCGGGTACTGGAGGTGCAGAAGGTAACTCCCCTGCTCCTGTCAGCCCAAGTACCCAAGCCCTTGCCAAAAATCAAAGAGCTGAGCCAGTGGCCACACTAATTTGCCTTGACACCAGAAGTGCAGGAAGCCCTGGGACAGTCACGCTAGGCAGGGACCGTGGGTCATGTCACTGCCCGGTACTCCACCAGTTCTGTATCATACAGCATCCTTCGCTATACCGTAGATGAGGCCGTGTGGACTTCCTTCCTCCTGTTATCCCCACCCTCTCCTTCCATAAATAGTGGGGAAACAGGGACAGTTGATGGGCCAAAGAGACACTGGCTGCCTTCCATGAAGATTTTGTAGCAAAGTATTCAGGCCAACGCTATGAATCTACCGTGACCAACCCTGCTTGAGAAAACACCCAGACAACGTGAGCAAAAGGCTGGATTTTCCTCTCTGGCTATGGATGGGCTGAGATCACAAATGATGTCCGCAGCTGGCCAGAGGAGAAGTTGAATTTGTGTAAGGTTTGGGGATGGGATTATAATCCCAAGGAATCCGGGTGGAATGTCTGGAGTTAAAGTTCCCAGGATGGGGCTGGGGATTTAGCTCAGCGGCAAAGTGCCTGCCTGGCAAGCGCAAGGTCGTGAGTTCGGTTCCCGGTACCGGAGAAAAACCAAAAAAAATAAATAAATAAATAAAAAATAAAGTTCCCAGGATGGTCAGTGCAAGTGCGTAATAGTAGCGGACTTTCCGGTGCTGGGGAGGTTGTACGTCCTGTCCTAAATTTTCTTTATGGCCACGTGTTCTGTTTGCTGGGGGCAGCATGGCCCTTTAGTGGTGTCTTGTTGTTTGTGGAGGGCGGTGCATTTGCTGACCGGGTCTCTCTAGGTCAGGCATGACAATTACACAGATCAACTCCTTTTGTATTTTGTAACTTAGAATGGATGAAACTGATCATCGTCCTCCAAAAATAACACATACACATACTTACAAAAAAATGTGTGCATGTGTTTATAATATATGCATATATGCACACTTTTTTGTACAAATGTGTATATATTTGTTGTTTTGCAGTAGGGAATTGAACCTAGGGCCTCAAATATGCTAGAACAAGGCTCCACCACTGAGCCACACCCCTAGCCCTATGTATTGTTTTTTGCCATTTCATTATCAGTGAAATTAAAAGAAGGTTGAAGGAATCATAGTGTCTCAGTTACTTTACTCATTGTTGAGACAAAATACCCCACACCCAAAGTTAAAGGAGGAAAGGTTTATTTGGCTCACAGTTTGTAGAGGTCCAGTTCATAGTTGGCTGGCTCCAAGGCAGGGTGGCATGGCAGAGGAGCATCGCAGAGGAGAAATAGTTCATGGCAAAGCAGGCGAAAGTCAGCAAGCAGCAAGCAAGAAGCAAGGACAAGTGACAACCTGTGACCCTCTTTCTGTCCCTTACATCTTATCCAGGCTACCTGCCCTTAGAGTGAGTAGCACTCACACCTACTGAGGTGGGCACCCGTAATCCCATCCAGAAGTATGCCAACAATAAGTGGACCAATTTAGTAATCACACATCCTTAATCCCAGCATCACATGCTCTAGATCCAGAAACCTCTGGAAAGCCCCACCTATGGCCATATGAGGTTTTAGGTGGACAGCAGACACAAGCCATAACACCTAGTAAAATTTAAAAAATAAACAAACTAGAAACAGCTCAGATGGGCTGTTACTCAATATACTTTACACATATGATAACATAAAACTGATACTTAAAGGTCTTTTTTGTTTTTGTGTGGTTTTTTTGTTTGTTTTTGGTTTTTTTGAGACAGGGTCTTCCTACCTAGTTCAGGCTGGCCTTGAAGTCACTATGTAGCCAAGCTGGCCTCGAACTCACAGCAATCCTCTTGCCTCAGCCTCCTGCTCAGCCTCCAGAATGCTGGGATTAAAGGCATGCACCACCATACCAGCCTTAAAGGCCTTTTTAATTGTTTTATTTTTGGCCATTTTGATCTCTTCACTAAGAAAGTGAAGGACGTTTTAAACCTAAGATTTGAAACTAATCTACTTTTAAACACTTTCCCAAACTGCAGCTGATGGCAGAGTGCTAAAGGAAGCCCTGGCCTCTTCACTTCTGGTTGTATTCACACTCCCGCTTGAGCTGTGGCAGCTCTGAAGGTGGAGAGCCCTCATTGAGAACATGAAGAGAAAATCAATTTTACAAGGGAAATGGAGCATCCTAAATTGTTTCAATGAAGGGATGGACCAATTGCCTATTTTGCTAGGAAAAGTACTTTCTGCTATATTCTAACAATGGAGGGAGAGAGAATACATTACGATACAGGGCACTTACTCCATATGTTACCAAATTAAGTATCCTCCAGAAGTGAGGTGTTTCTAACCACTAGATATGGAAAACCGGAAATGACTCAATTAACACCCTCCGTGCTACCCCAACCCCTCTGGGGATGAGCACCATCGGGCCGCACCCTTTTAGGAGAAATAGTTCCCCGAGTGAAGTATGCCTGCTTCCTACACTCCTGTTACTCACCGTGTTCTCTGTAACATGGACAAATAGCTGTGGCTGCTCTAGCTCTCGTTAAAATTTCTGTGTTTGCTCCCATGATTGTTGTCCTACACTGTTCGAGTGTGCTTGTCCTGACTGACCCCATCGCCTCAGTGTTCCTTCACGCTAACCACAGCCGGTGAGTCCTGTGCCTAGCTGCAGGGTTCAGACTCGCTAGTCATGCGAGGTGTGAGCGCACAAACAACCAGGAGTACACAGGAACCAGGATTGTGTGATTGTGGCTGTCGCTTAGGGTAACATACAACCTTAGAAAATTAAGAACCAACTCAAAGAAGCTGGAGGCTGGGAAGGAGGAGGAGGGAGGCATTGACAAAGTTAGTCTTCATTCCTTTGAAATAGGAG